GAGAAGAGGCAAACATCGGAAAGGGGCAAGACGAAAACGGCAATTAATAGGGACGCAGAACAGCAATTAAACCAAGATCAAAGACAAATAAAAATAGCAGGGAACGAAACATGGAAATTCGGGTTATGGAATACGCAAAGCCTGAACACAAAGAAGGATGAGATTATCGACGAATTTGAAAAGACAAACATGAAACTAACAGGACTAACAGAAACAAAAAAGAAACGAGAAGGATGTATTAAGTTAAAAAATGGGCACTATTTGATTTTTGGAGGAGTAAAGGAGACGGAGCGAGCACAAGCAGGGGTGGGTGCACTTATTCATAGGAATTGGTTTCACAAAGTGAAGTGTTGGAAAGTAATAACAGATAGGTTACTTAGGATTGATATTAATGATAATAGTCAATGTAACATGTGGTCAATTCTTATTGCATACGGCCCTACGGAAAACGAGTGTAAGGAAATTAAGGATGATTTTTGGGACTGTTTGCAGGATGAAACGGACAAAGTGAAACAAAGGTGTATGATAATTGGGGATTTAAATGGCCGAGTAGGTATAAGTAATGAACAAGGGTATCCGGTGGGTGCTTACGGGGAAAGGGAATTGAGTGGTAATGGGCAACGTATTATTCAATTCTGCTTATTAAATAATATGCGAGTATGTAATACTTTTTACAAACATAAAGATATCCACAAATTTACCCGTGTAATGGAGTCCAGGAGAGAAAAATCAATTATAGACCTAGTTCTGGTACAAAGCGCACATTTGAGTTCAATTTTAGATGTAAGGGTAAAACGTGGGCATGAGATAGGTTCAGACCATTTTCTGGTGGAAATTAAAGTGATGAAAGAGGGTGTGAGTGGGACGAGCTTAGAAAAGGAGGTACAGAAATACAGCCAGGGTAGCATTAAGGTACACAAACTACAGGAGGTGAAAACTAGGAGAGCATATAATAAAATTTTGAATGAAGAACTACAGAAGACTAATTGGAAGAAGGAAGAAGATATTGAAGTATTGTGGGCAATGTTGAAAAATTCAGTATGCAAAGTGGGAGAAAAAATCTGCGGAGTCACTAGACAAAGGAAGGGTAAATTAACGGCATGGTGGAATGAGGGCATAAAAATCGAAGTAGCTAAGAAGAAAAAATGATCAAAGTCCTCGTGTAAGATCGAAGGGACTTCAGCGCATTTTTGTGTGGCAGATCAGTGCTTTATTAGCCAATATTGACTCCACCATCAATAAGATCTTGCCGAAAGCTACCACGTTCACTTTGTCGGTACCATTTTCTCACTTACCGTGCACTCGCAATTCGCGTTTGAAGTTTTGACTCCACCATCAGTAAAATCCTTTGGGGGTTACCATATTCCCTTTGTCGACACCCACTTCTGATCACCCGCAACAATTCGGATTTGAAGTTTCGACTCCACCATCAGTAAGATCTCGTCGGGGGTTACCACATTCCCTTTGTCGATACACAGTTCCGACGTCCCGTTCATTCGTAATTCACATTTTGGTAGATTTCGCTAAAATCCCGGCATAAAATCGTATTCAACTTTTGGGTACTTCACATAGCTCGACCTTCTATTAGTGACACGAGAAAGAGAGACCGCGATTCGCGCTGTAAGAAACTTTTGGGCGCCCAAAGTCGACTACCCCTCGAAGCGCGCCGCGCAAAAGGTGGTTTATTTCGCCCCTAGGAAAAAAAAACAAAATTCGGCCACGCAGGAGCTGTGCGCGTTGACAAGATCTTCCCGACGACACCAATTTGAAAACAATCGGAGAAAAACTGTAAAAGAAGATAGATAAAAACTGAAAAATCTCCAGGTTAGTATAATACGCTCGGGGATGGCGTCCAGATGTCGTCGACTCCAAATCTTGTAGCCCCATCCCTAACGTTCTTAATTACACGGCCCCGATAGTTACATGTACACTCCTTGTCTTTTTACAAGCGTTTTTCTACGGGCGCGCATTTACTGCCAGCCAGCCAGCCAGCCAGCCAGCCGACCAGCCAGCCAGCCAGCCAGCCAGCCAAAGTGAGATTAAAAGCTACTTTTTACAAAAAAAAATTTTTGCAAAAATGCGCTAAAAACTTTGGAGGGTATATCTTGCCAATAACACGGAGAATAATTACGAAAAATACAGACAACAAAGAAAATCAGTTAAAGAAAAGGTTAAAGCTGCCAAAATCAGGCAGTGGGAGGAATTTGGTAATAAGATGGAAAGAGATGGTAGAGGGAATGCTAAGTTGCTCTACAGATCTATAAAAAATCTTAGACAAGACAAAGGAACAAAGATGTTATGTATTGAAGACAGAGAAGGGAAAATATTAACGTCAGAGGAGCAAATAATCGACAGATGGCAACAATATTTTATGGAAGTACTAAAAGGGGATACTAACGAAAACGACTACGAAAAAGGGCCCACTATAGAGAACGGACCAGAATGCGAGGAGGAAGTTAAATTTGAAGAAATGCAAAAAGCAATACGTAAATTAAGAAACGGTAAGGCCGCCGGACAGGATAATATCAAGGCAGAACTGATTAAATATATGGAGGGAGTAGGACTAGAATTTCTTTATAAAATTATTAAAACAGCCTGGAATACAGAGAGAATATCACATGACTGGACACTTGCAACTATTTTACCGATATATAAGAAAGGTAATAGACATGATTGTGCGAACTACAGAGGAATCTCGCTACTGAATGTGGTCAGTAAGGAATACGAGATGTTACTGGAAAAGAGGTTGAGGGATATGGTTGAAGGGACTTTAGATGATAACCAGTCGGGTTTCAGACCGGGACGAGGTACAACGGAGCTGATATTCACATTACGACAGTTGATTGTAAAAACCCTGCAATATAATAACACCATATACTTCTGCTTTATAGATCTAGAAAAAGCTTTCGATAATGCCCCGCGAGAAAAGATTTGGGACATATTAGGGAGTAGAAATGTTGGCCAGAAGCTAATACAAGCTATAAAAAGTATATATAGAAGCACCAGGAATGTAGTGAGAACACACAATAGAATAAGCAAAGTATTTTATACAAAAAGTGGAGTCAGACAAGGGGGTGTGATAAGCCCATTATTGTTTATTACACTAATGGATGAAATAGCCAAATATGTGAGACACAAAACCAACAAAGTAAATGTGGGAGTATATAAATTACAGCGAGTATTGGTGTCAGAACTGCTATATGCTGATGACTTGGTAATTGTGGCAAACACAGAGAGGGATTTGCAAGCCAACCTGTATTTGGAGTGAAGGTTTCCGAAAGTACGGCATGAAGATAAACATCGAAAAAACGGAGGTGATGGTGGTAGCTAAGAAACATCAAAGGGTGAATGTGAAATTAAATAGCACGACAATCAAGCAGGTAGAAAACTTTAGGTATGTGGGGTCGGTAATTAATGAGCAGGGGGAAATGGAAGCCGAAATAATTAATAGAGTGACAAACGCTACTAAAGTATATTACCCGCTAAACAAAGTTTTTATAAAAAAACGGGAAGTCAGTTTAGAGACAAAAATAAAAATATTTAAAACTGTGTATGAACCGGTACTTTTGTATAGTGGTGAAACTTGGACTTTAAGCACTAGTAACCGAAGTAAAATCCAGGCGTGCGAGATGCGGTATTTAAGGGCGGCGATAGGAGTAACGCGACGTGATCGGATTAGAAACGAACAAATTAGGGATAAGTGCAATGTGATATCAACACTGACTAAGTTAGAAACAAAGCAGTTGCTGTGGTTCGGGCACATGGCAAGAATGAGCGAACAGAGAAAAGTTAAACAAATATGGAAAATGGGGGTAGATAAAAAGCGCAAGAGAGGCAGACCTGCTAGAACATGGAATGGGGAGGTAGGAAAGACCCTGACTGCACGGGGAATGAATTGGAGAGAGGCGGAACAATTTGCGGTCAATCGAGATGCATGGAGAGGACGTTCCGCATCGTATACCTCGACACCGTAAGGTAGAAGAGGAAGGATTATGGGATGGGACTTTTTGAAGTCTACCAAATGATTAATTTTAGTCAATATTTAGATATTTCATTGTGGCGGAAGCCGAAAGTCTACGAGGAAAATAATTACAATTCCAAATTGAAAGGTTGTTTTGTTTTGAATTAGCTGGACAGGTGTTTTCGGGGGTGGAGTAATATCGCATACCATTGCACACAGTAATGCATTGAACATTGTAGGAGTAGTGAAGGCCTCGGACGGACGGACAGAGAAAGTTGATGCAATAGCGCACCCAACTTCTGTAGAAACAGAATACAAACAGATAACAACGGCTCGATCAAATACCTAAAATTTGCGTTTCTCATATGACGTTTCGGATTAACGAGATTCCTTAGTTAAAATTCCTACCTGCATTCCTTCGTTATGAACTTATAAAAAAAAATTGTCGAACAGTTTATGCATATTAAGTTATGGCAACTTGTCTTATGCCTGCTCAAAAATTTGCAGATGCGACATTGAACGATATCATCCCCATTTGCAGGGTGTGTCATCTATAAGTATAAATTCTGAAACGATAACTAAATAGTTACATATTTCCGTGCGATATGACTATTGGAGAATAAGAAAGGAAGAATTGCAAATTTTGGTACATTTGGGAGCAAAGTTCCCAAACGAACCATTGACTTTATCTATTGCACGTAAATTTGGTTATAAATAATGGAGCTTTTCATGTAGTCGACCCTGTTATCTACTATTATAATACTCGGGAAACTTTGTCTAGCATTCCACAATGTCTTAGTGTAAAATAAAGTGTCGTTTGAAAGCTTTTATAACAAAGAGGGTTTACAACCATTTTTTCGGCAAGTAATTAGAAAATTTAGAAATTTGAAAGAATGCAATTACTCCTGGAAACACGCCGTAGTCCCATTCTTCCGGAAGTCAAGTCTACAATATTAACCTCTATAGTGAACGCGATTACATTTGCATTCCAACGGTTTCGGAATAAAACAATAACACAAGATGATGCTTATTCACCTACCTTAGATCGCAGCGAAATGTCTCGACTCGAAAGAAGGCGGAAGCTTAAGGTGAGAGAAGTCCACCGGTTCAAGCCCTTACAGTCGTTACACTTTAACGATAACAACACTAAGGAAAACACTACACGAGTAATAGTGTTCGATGTGCTTTACGCTCGATTTGTCTAATCTCTCACTGCGAGTTGTGCATCTGAAAATTGAAGAAAGGAAAAGGATTAGCTTAAACTAGTTAGATAATGGATCTAATTATAATTAAATGCGAGCCTAGGTTTTAACGATATTATCGAGTATAGCGCAGGTCAGGATTCAATTATTCTTAAAAGTTAGTGCGCACTTCAACAGATAATCAGATATCTTTCAGCTGTAACGAAACACCTGGTTAGATTTTCCACAAGGAACTATTTTATCATTCGCAATCTTAATTTAATGATTTTAATCTTTTAAGGATTCTCGAAGCGTATCGGCAGCGGCGAAATAGTTCGCGTTATTTTCCGGTATTTACAAGTACATCAAGTCGTGTCGTTAAAGCTCTCTATGAATCTGGTAGGCGACATTGTATCACGCACATGCATTTTGCTGCGTGCCGATGTAAGTTTTGTTTAGACAGGGCTAAATCAAATGACAGATCTTGGTAAGTATATGTATGTGTGGTGTACGTTGCGTTCGTGCAACGTAAAGTTATTCGGGTATACGGTATGAATGCTAACTAAACGAAGCTGTCATGTCGATTGAGAACTTGCAGTCGAGAATGTTGAATGACACATTAGGAAACCTATGTTTATTCATGGTTAGTTAATAGAATTAATGGTGTTGTCTTCATATTGATCGGAATGGTACACATATTTATATACCAACATCGGCTCGGCTCGACTTCGTCGATCGAACTTAGATTAAACCCGGTTTAAATGCCAGATTAATCACTTTTTACAGTCCCATTAATCTGGGGCATTAATAATAATAATAATGACATTTATTGAGCACACACCATACAAAGAACAGATATTATACATTACATTACATAACGTGTGACTCAATAGGGCGAAGTTCAGACTGGAATAAACCGTGTTATTCCGTCTGCTCTACCACTCAACCCCCTACATATGAAATTAACAACAAGAGACCAAGACATAAAAAAACCTAGCAAGAAAAAACTATATGATAATAAAAACCATTCAGTATGAAGGCACAAATGAAAACCTAAAAAGAAGAAAAAAAAAAAAAATGTAAAAAGAAAAAAAAATTATAGCAATAATGATATTAACGATGGAACTTAATGCTGCCTTGCAAGGAGTATGAGGCGCAAGCGTTTTTTAAAAAGACTTTCGGATAAATGTTTTAAATGAGATGGTAATTCATTATACGTCTTTGCAATATTGTAACTGAAGGAGCGTTTAAATAGTGACGTTTTGTGAGTAGGTATAGTTATAAAAAACCGATCTCTAACATTGACATTATGGACGTCAGCTCTGTATGTTACCTTTTCAAATAAATATGACGGAGTTTTGGTTTGAAGTATGCCATGGAACAAACAGGCAGAATGTAATATTCTTCTGTTGTTCATATCAAGCCACTGGAGGGATTTTAATTTATGTGTAATCCGGTCGTATTTTCGGATACCAAATATTAGTCTAAGGCAAGAATTCTGCATTCTCTGAATTCGATTGTAGTCTCTTTTGTCGATACATGGGCCATACACACTATTACAATAGTTAAATTGGGAAAGCACTAAGGATTCACAAAGCATAACCTTAATACTACGATTAATAAGAAATCGGCTATTAAATATTAGTTTAATATTTGTAAACGCTTCATTAATTATTTGAGATATATGCTTTTTGAAACGTAATTGGGAGTCAAAAATCAATCCAAGATTTTTGTATTCATTAACGACTGGTAATATTGCCCCGTTGGACTCAACAATTATTGCATGCTTGAGCGTGTTAATAATCGACGTTCGGCCAAATAGCATAACAGCTGACTTATTGCAGTTAATCTGGAGTCCATGTTCTTCAGAAATCTTAGCTATATTATACAGGTCAGAATTGAGTTGATTATTGATTGTATTAATGTTAAGGTTTTCAGTCGGAGCTTGATATAATAATTGTGTGTCATCCGCGTACATGTGATAAGTGCAGTATTCTAAACAAGTGTCAAAATTGGAGGTGTATATAATATACAGTAAAGGTCCCTGCACTGACCCCTGCGGAACACCTGCTGTAACAGCAATGGGGTTTGACATGTGGTCATTTAAAGACACGCGTTGTGTTCTATTGCTAAAAGGAAGCTTGAAATAAATTTAATAGAATAGTCGTTAAATCCGATAAATTTTAGTATTGCAAGGAGAACAGCATGGTTTATTCTATCAAAAGCTCTAGAGTAATCGAGCAAAATAAGAACTAGCAGTTTTTACGATCAATTGCAGAAATAATTGTGTCTGTGACGTGCAAAAGGGCAGTAGTGCAACTGTGCCGCGACCTGAAACCGGACTGTAAAGGGGGAAGAATGTTTTCAGAGGTTAAATATGCCCTGATCTGCCTATCCATGATCCTTTCCAAAATCTTAGACATACAAGGCAAAATACTTATTGGACGTAGATCAGTAAATTTATTATCATTCTTCCTATTTGATCCATGGTCATTTACTGTTCGTGCAATGCAACTACCACTTCTCTGCAGTAAGAATTACATTAAAAACGCTCCAAAAGTTGTTGGTTCTACGCGAATCAAAATTGAAACCTGGGATTACCTGGGAAAATCCCCCAGACATGATAAATATATTTTAATAATTAGGTACTTACATTAAGTTGAGTTGTGCAGGCATATAGACGTGTTTTCGCGAGCGCTCTCAAGTTTACCTGTGCAGCTGACTTTTTCGAAATGCCCATCTTTAAAAATTGTGGAACGTGCGATAAAAAGATCAATTTTGAAAAGGATTAGTTTGTGTATGTGATAAGTATCATCTGCTTTATCACTCTATATGTTCTGGCCTTTCCCATGCGGATGCACAATTACTATCAACAAATAATATCCAACGTCCAGCTTTTCATTGTGATAAATGCACTACCGAAAAATCACAAGTGACTGACCTATTGAAAATTGAAAACGTTGCAATCTGAAATTAGTGATCTAAAATAAAAACTTCTCACCCCGCAACTAGAAAACATATCCCCATTGTTAACAGAACAACTAATCAGTGAGATATCTGATAGAAATAGAAGAGCTTCTAACGTTATTATCTTTAACATTGAAGAATATGATGACCTTAACAATGCGGACAACAGTCGAATTACTGAGATAGTTGATGCAGTTGGAAACATTGATACTTCAAAATTGTGCTTCTTTCGGATTGGAAAACCCACACCTAACAAAAATCGTCCTATTAAAGTAATATGTAATAATGAATCAGAAGCTAAGCACATGTTAAAAAACAAAGCCAAAATTTTGCATAAATTTAGGGAGTACCGTATTACCTCTGATCAAACCCCAGCCCAACGCAACTACATTAAGGAACTGAGGAACACCTTGCGTAGCAGGCAAGAAAACGGCGAAACCAACATTACCATTAGGTACGTAAACGGAATCCCCAAAATTATTTCTACTAATCAAAAAAACTAAAGTCTCACTTGGACTCACTGTACACTAGCATCAAAATATTCAATGCTCTACCAGCCTTCATTAAGGATTTGAAAAACAGTGCTCAATTTAAAGCCGCCCTCAAAAGGTATTTGATAGCTGAGTGCTTTTATAAAGTATGTGATCTCAATTCTAATATATGACAACTATAGTATAATCAATTACTCTGTGATAAATTTATTTGACTGTTTGTTTGTATGCATGTATGTTTTCCTTGTGATATATTTGACAATATTCGTTTAGATACAACTGGACAATGTCTATGTCAATGTTTTGTTGATCACCAGACAATAAATTAAAAAAAAGAAGAACTAAATTGTTATTATCAGAATGTGCGAGGTTTAAACACTAAAGTGAATATATTTTATCATGAAATCATTGTCAGTTCTTATGATGTAATATGTCTTACTAAAACTTGGTTGAGTGCGGAACTATTCCCGGATAATATGTTCACCGTCTTTAGATGTGATCGAAACTATGATGAACTTAATGTTTCTCGAGGTGGGGGAGTCTTAATAGCCGTTAGACATAACACAGCCATTGACGTTTCTATTTTGGACCTAACTTTTCTCACCAACATTTTCAACTATATAGAAATTGTCGGGTGCAAATTGACTTTTGGACATTTACAAATGTATATAATTAATGTTTATATTCCTCCCAACTTATCGTTTAACGAATTTAGTGATTTTATTGAATCATTGTCTCATCTCAATCAGCTTTGTGACGACAAAATAATAATTTTGGGTGACTTTAATCTCCCTAACTTTTGCGGAGAAAATAACCACCTAGACAACAAATGTTATCAACTATTACAGTTTCTTGATTATGTTGGTTGTTCCCAGTTAAATAATATTCGTAATGTGAATAATTAATAGAACACTCGATTTAGTTAACAGTAACTTGAATTTGCAAATCGTTAAAAGTCAGTGTACTGTTCTACGTGAAGACGAACATCATCCGGCGTTAGAATTTCATATCAACTTAACGTAACAATAACTTGAAATCAAAGTTTAAACCAAAACTGTATAACATTGACACAGCGTGTACTGAATTCTATCGGGTATTAGGTTTGACGCTTGACAAAAGTGTACCTACATATACTAAAAATCATGAACATAAATTCCCCCCCCCTGGTTTTCACAAAATTTAATTCAACTTATAATCAAGAAGCAAAAAGCGCACAAAAAGTATAAAACCTCTGGTATGTTGTGTTATCAAAATGAATTCAAACGCTTACGAGCATTAATAAAAAAAGAAACACGTATCTTGTATAAACATTTTACTGGTCGAACTGAACAGGTGCTCAAGACAAATCCGAACAAGTTTTGGTCCTATGTACGTAGCAAAAAAGGAGTAACACGTATTCCAAGTGAGGTTGAGTGTAAATCTCAAATTTATAATACTCCTCAAAATATTGTTGATATTTTCGGTTCATATTTTGCAAGTGTATATGAAAAAGGAGGCCCCTGTGCCAAAATTAATAATGTTTACATCAACAGCCCTTATATTCATATTAATTCTGTTTCTGAGCATGAAGTCATTGAAGCCATAAAAA